TTGATGTACAAAATATAAAGCATATCGTGCTGCCGAAAAGGCGAGAAATCCCATGCAAATGTGGTAAGTCCAGAAACACGGAATCACATGAAAAGGCGGTACATTGAGAAGGTGGCAAATGCACTAAGCAAAAGAAAGAAGGACAAAAAATTAAGAGACTGTTGTCTTATCAATCTACAGAGCAGGCCTGGGATAGTTCTAATATTTTTTTTTGACTGAAACTAAAAGAGTAATATTTTCCATGCATATATATGCACTGATATACATTCAAAAAGTAAGAAATCCAGAAAACTAATTTTCCGGTGTAAATTTAGTAGGTCTCATAAAACTGCAGGAGCTGGATAAGAACGCACGAACTGCGAATATGAAGTCTTTTAAGCCATCTTGCTCTGCTAAAAGCGTAATCACTTCTACTGCACAGAAAAATACAATGAATATCTTCGGCAAAGTATTTGGCATTCTTGATTTCTTGCATTATTTTCGTAATTTGCTTGATGAACTGTTTTACTGTCTTCAAAACTTTTAAGATTTCTTAAAGACCTTCTGCAGGGAGAAATTACATTTTTCTTCACTTTGGGAAAAAAAATGTGTGCAAAATCATTGTTACATTTACCTTATAAGGTGTTTTTCCCGCCTTCCTAGCATGCCTTCGTGGTGTAGTGGTTCTGCACGCTGAACCGGTATTTCAGAGGTCCGTGGTTCGATTCCCGGCGAAGGCGTTTGTTCATTTTTCATCTATCCGACCTCGAATTATCCTAATGTCTCTACAACCTAAAGTCTATATGAAAATGGTAGTGGTTGCCGGCAGCAATTGCTAAAAAGCATTTCTTATTGGCGAAAAATCCGCAGAACCGGATGCTACACTGGCATATTAAAAAACGCATACACCGTTAGTTCTGTTTTGACGAAAAGAGGAAGGGGAATTAAAAGGTTAACCAAGGTTAAGGGTGACCTTTGATCTAAGCCAAATTTCCAAATGCTTGCAAAACACTATTAACATGAGGACATTTCATAGCCGATCGCATCTTAAGTCAATATTTGCTGTCTGGGCAGTGATGAAGGTATTTCATTCTTTTCTTGCTTTTTGAAGGTGTTTTATTCTTTATTCTTTTCTCGCCTATACTATTTGCTGTTGTACTTAACGGTCATCAGGTCACAAATAGAACTGTTCATTTTTGGAAAGCAATCGCCAGTTTTAAACGTGCGTCAGCTGTGTGCTAAGATACAGGTTGGAGACAGCAATAATAGTAACCTAATACTAATTTGCATGCAGTCCTGTCATTATTAAATGGAAAAACAGAAAAAAATTAAGTAATGCCGGGATTAATGGTAACCTGAAGATAAATAATGCACTCTCTATAATTTAAAAATTCTTAACGTCAGAAGAGTCAAGCAATTATTGATATGATTGGTTGGTTAGGGAATGGTTTAAGCAAAGAGAGTGGCTTAGAGAAGAGTTGGATAGCTTTCTAAAGAAAATTACATCGTAGTATTTACGTTAGACAAAAGGAAAACCGCGTTAACCCCAAGTTGCCAGGGCGTTCGCCAGGATGTGAACCGTCGAACCAGGTCGAATTACAAGTGTTCAGCGGTCTCATCCACTGATAGACGACTCTGGCTGTTAAACGACTTAATCAGTATATTGAAACAAAATTTTCATGCGAATAAAACTAAACTATTTATTGATGCATAAATATAGTCGATTGAATATAACTATCATCGATACCGGATCCAATTTTTTCATCTTTGACATATGTAGCCGCAAATAATTTTGCGCAAAAAGCACGCACGTTTCCGAAGAATACATAGATACCTTTTAGATTTAAAAAATATACTCGAAGTCCAAACTGACTGCAAAGAAGAGAGAAAGAGAAAGCGACTTTTGAGTTCAAATAGCGATTATTGTAGGAGTAGGAGCAACGAGAATCAGCGTAATATTCATAAATTTGCAGGACTAATTTCGAAGGTTTAAATATAGAACCGTCTTCTTCATCTGCAGAAGTTCAAATGACGAAATAGAAGCCAGTGATAACATAAGGCTACAAGAATGAGAAGACAAGGCAATAAGAATGCGACTTGTCCAAGATGAAATCCCTGTTGAGAATGATTTTGGTTTTTGTTAAGCTTTAATTTTATAGATTAAATTTAAGTTTCGATCTATAAATTGAACTTATTATTGTCTGAAGTACTATCTAAGTATGTTCATCATTAGAGTTACGTAAGAATTATGTGAGAGAGACTGATTTTAAAATGATGCGTGTAGAAAGAGTTATTATAAACATTTACAATTTTTAGGACAGTAAGAGAAAATATGACATTTTAAAAGCGTACAGTTAGAATTTTGATTTACATATTTTTTATTTATTTTCTATCATATGATGATGACAGATGACACATGATTCTATCGTATTCTATTATATGATGATAGAATGAGATATTTATTTTTTCAATATTTTATATTTTTTATAATATATTATTTAGTCCCGACTTTTCCTTTTAATTTAATAATTTTATATATGTAATAGAAAGACTTGGAGAATGCTGCAACTATGGTGATGGTTCTCTGCGTTACATAGGTTGGAGAGGCTTTACTGCGTAGTTAGAAAGATGACACTCGAAGACAGACGTAGCCGTAAATTCCACACATAATTTTATTCCTTGATAACTAATTCTTAGGACACATATTATTTTTAGTTGCGCATCATCATAGTGCTTGCTCTATACACCCCACAATTTTATACAGCTTAAAATTTTAACAGCCACAATTTTATACAGCTTAGAACCATGGAAAATAGCCAGCAGAGTTTAAGCGACACGTTAGCGAATGAAGTAACTTCTTGGGTGCAAGAGAGCTGAAGCTAAAGCGCGCAGTTATCCAATATGGAAGCTCACCAACAGAAGGTTTTGGTTTAGATTGTTTATTAAGAGGAAGGTTTCAGTTTACGAAATTTTGGGTTTAGGTTCCGAATGAGCTACGTTATCAGCGTTACTCAAGCCACACGAGACAGATTCTTTTTAGAAATCGATTTTTAGAATAGAGAGGAGGAATTAAGGACTATTGCTAATTTAAATTATAATTTTGCTTCACATATTTTTGATTTACATATTTTTTATCTTATAATTTTGATTTACATATTTTTATCTTATAATTTTGATTTACATATTTTATCTTATAATTTTTATTTACATATTTTGTATCTTATAATTTTGATTTACATTTATATCTTACACACACACACACATATATATATATATATATATATATATATATAGATAGATAGATAGATACATACTCGTGCGTAAAATTAGGAGAATTTGCAAATTATATCTATTTTTAAGAAATTTTTGAACCAAAGATACTAATTATGCCGCAGAAGATTTAGGCAAATATTCAGAGTCGAGTACTTAAACTTACACGTACGTGTCTGCGGAGCTGGTAATTGTGGAGGTGACGTAAGCGCACGAGGGGATTTCGGCGATTTGAGTGTACATACAACTTCACGCTATCCGCCTTGTTTCTCGCAAGAGCTGAGTACCTTTAAAATGAGTAGCTATGAATATATCGATGACAGAATGAGATGGAGAATTGTCGGTAGATTGGAAGTAGGCAAATCACAAGTGCATATCGTCTACAGAGCTCAATGTAATGCACAGTACATTAAGTGCAGTTTGTGGAAACAGTTTTAAAACACTGAATTCATATCTAGAAGACGTCGACAAGGTCGAACAAGATCCATAATAACGAATAAGGGTAGCTATTTGGAATCTTCAGCGCGGCGACACATGATAGCTACAGATTTAGAGCTTTTACATGAGCTTGTATGCTGCCAATGAAACGCAAGTTTAACGGACAACAGTTGTACGAAAGCTTCATGAGATAGGGCTAAAACATCGGCAGAATATCCGCTGTTTGTGTCTCGCTCATCGCAGCACACAAAAGAGCGCGTGCAGACAGCATGCGTCTTCGACCAGACTTCAGTGAAGCGCTGTGCTTTTTACAGATGAGTCGACATTCAACCTGGACACTGATTCTTGTCGTATCTGTATATGGAGAGATCCTGGAACACAATACTATCCCTCCCTTATCATGGAAAGATATTATTGCGATGCTGGACGTGCTGGTTTGGGCAGGCGTTGTGTTGGCGAGCCGCATACCTCTGCATGTGCTTGACTGCTTTGAAATTTAGAGAGGATATCTGAGAGCTATTAAAATTTTCAGAGGCGAAGTTGGTCCTGGGCTTCTGTTAATGGACGACAACCCTCCTCCCCACAGGACTCAGCTGCTCAACGATTACCTGGAAAGTGAGAATATTCGCCGCATGGATTGGCCAGCCAGATCTGTTGATCTGAACCCCATACAGCATTTCTGGAATGCTCTTGGGGGGCAATTTCATTTCACCATCCCCTTCCGAGAACCATCCCAGAGCTGAAAATCGACTTGCTACAGAAGTGGGCTCGACTGTCGTACGGACTCCTCAAATGCATCCTGTCCAATATGCCGTCACGCTGCGAAAAGTATCTAACTATGAGAAGGGACTGTACCCCATATAAGACGCATTTTCAGTTCTATATCATAATGTGGGTTTTCTACATCCGTGGACTATGAGTTTTACTGAAAATTATGCGCACATAATATGACTTTTGAATGGTACATCTCTTTGTCTGTTATAAATGTATATTCATACCAAATTTCATTAAATTCTGTCCATTAGTTTTCTATAAATTCCACATAATATGCAAATGTGCCAATTCTCTTAATTTTCCTCTCAAATGTATATGTATGTACAGCTGTATTATATGGCCGAGTGGATAAAGCCACTGAACACTAGTAGGTCGACAATTTCCCTTAGAAATTTCTTTAAGGATGCATCTCTTCCCCTTAGGCTGATAACCTTCTTGACCTTGCTTTGTATTCAATCCCCCAGTCATTTATATGTACATAAATATAACTAATATATTCATAAATTTCGTATATAACACAATTTCCAATTTTATTACAGGTTTCAGTTGATTCTTCTGAATGTACTCTTAGAGCTTTGGCTTCAAGTTCTTCTATCCTCCACGGAAATGGTAGAAGTTCCAATCATTGGCAGAAAAACTCAGAGGATAGTGTCTAGAGTTACGAGAGGGTTGAGGCTGCATAAGAGACAGTCAGGTAGATTTACACAACATATAAAACCTGCAAAAGAAATTGATCCAATACCCGAAGGTCCTAAAGTCCTCATGCCGAGGATATCTCCGGAAGATATGAAACAATTTGTAAATCAAGCTGCAGAAACGATACGTGTAAGGCTGGAAAGTACGGAGCCCAGTATATATAGAAGCGGTAAGTGTTGGAATTTTTCTATTAAAGCTGCATGTTAAGTACTGAGAATCTGAAGTAACTAGTAAGTTCTAATGAATCGAATAAGGGAATGCATGAAACTCGCTATGGTATAAATTGCATGGGGATGAGGTGGGTAGAATTAGAAAGTAGAGAATAAACCCACTTTTGAAGTTGCTTATATATATTTTGAGACTTTGAGATAAAATTAAAAGATATTAAATAATAAATAAATAGTATAAATAAAGATTAAACGAAGGTTGACGAATTACTGTATTGTTTTATTTTTCAAAATAATCAAAACTTTGGGCAAAAATGAGCAATAAAATAAACAAAATAAATCAATTTATGAAATTAATAAAAAAATTCACTATGCACAATGTTTCAGGTAAAAATATCGTTAAATATTAATAATAATGTCTAAAGCGGTACAATAAATTGCATACAATTTAATGCTCAAGAATGCACTTTTATATAATGGCGATAAGCGCACCGCATGCAGATAGGGAAAAATTTGCATGCTCTTTCACATTGAGGTTTTCCTTTTGACCATGTAAAATCAGCCGAGTGCGTTCCCGTCCCGCACATTTTTTTTCTCTTCGCCTTTTCTATTATAAGATGATAAATCTTTATTCAGCAGCAAAATTAAAATACAGGCTCATTTCCTTCATATTGCGAGTTCGTTTTTAGACCACGGCAAAAAAAAAAAAAAAAAAAAAAAAAAAAAAAAAAAAAAGCAAGTCAGATGAGTATGTTTTTTTTTCTTGGCGGGTACAAAAAGTTCCTTGTGGGCGTTCTTTACAGATAGTAGCTGCGTAGTGCAGACGGGTTTAAGAAAACAGTGTATATAATTATTTAAATTACAAAAATGAATTGTTGTTTAAAAATCGTACTCATCGTCTGAGCTTAAAATAATTATTTTGCTGTGAACATATTTTTGCTGTGGATTGTCTTTCTCCGATGTTGATGGCTGTGAACTCATTAGATTTGTTTTTGCTAAAAACTGAATATGGCTGAGACATCCCCAGCTTTTAGCTAAATAACAGAAACATTTGCTACATCGAATACGTTTCCATTCACGAATGATTTTGAGTAGCACGCGATGAAGATTAATATGAGTCAATAGAGTGATGAAAAGATTCAACTTTCACAAAAATTTAAACGTATATTACATACTGGCCGCTATGCGGCCAGCCTTCATCTGGTTTTTAAATGCACCAGAAAAATGCCTAAAGGGAACACCAAACATGAAATTTAAAAACTGCACAGAATTTTACTCTGCAAAACAACTTTATTAAAAAAACCCACAAATTTCAATAAAAATATATTATATGTTATAAAAATATTTAAATGAAATAAGAAATATCCCTTAATACAAATATTAACTATCCTAATAAATTAATTAACCAACTTCCCGTTGCAAAATTTTAAGAATTCAAATGGTATAAAGGAAGTTAAGAAATTTGTTTCCTAAAAAAGTCATGCAAAACCTTTTATATAATTAAAACTATATATAATTAAAACGATTTATAAAAATACAGTGAAATAAGCAATATTCCTTAATACAAATGTTAATTATCCTAATAAATAAATTAATCAACTTCCCCTTTGCAAAATCTTAAGAATTCAAATGGTATAAAGGAAGTCTGTGTGTTTGTTCGCTAATAACTCAGTCACTACTATAGCTATCGTCACCAAACTTTCTACAATTCTTTTCAGCGTCCTGGAAGATGTCGACGTCGACTTTTTTCCGAAAAATAAATAGCAAAATTAGCTAAAATCAGTTATATTAATTAAAAACTCTTAAAACGCTAACTTTAGTTCTCATTTTTCCGAGAGACAACAGTGCTGATATCAGCAACAAAATGGCTGCGTGCCATTGTTGCTGGTATGCCCATTATGTCTGATACGATTTTATCAAAAAACATAAAATAAAAAAATCTTATTTGAATTTTGAAAAACATCCTTTTGAGGTGCAGTGGCTCTTGTCTAGATGCACCTATGTACCAAATTTCATAGCCCTGCGTCTATTAGCTTACGCGCAGCACGAACGAAAGACACACAGACAGACTCTTCCTTTTATTGTATGTAGAGATGGTGAAATTTACAGAACACACACATACACAGACAGACTCTTCCTTTTATTGTATGTAGAGATGGTGAAATTTACAGAACACACACATACACAGACATACTTTTCCTTTTATTATACGTAGAGATGGTGAAATTTACAGAACACACACATGCACAGACAGACTCTTCCTTTTATTATATGTAGAGGTGGTGAATTTTACAAAATACACACATACACAGACAGACTCTTCCTTTTATTATATCTAGAGGTGTGAAATTTACAGAATTAAATAACATTTTAGAGCGATATTTGCCAGACGATGAGTTTTAACAGCAGATGGAATTGCAAGTTATTCATTTGAAGATAAAAACCTTAGCATAGTAAAAGCAATTAAAATGTTAGATTTATTTATATAGCTATTACTTGGCCTAATTTCGTTAAATATCGCTTTGTAGTTTCGACCAGTAAGGACGATAAAGCTACGAAATATTGTAATAATTAAGATAATTGCTATAAAATTATGAAGTTTGCAAATGAGAGTAAGATTATAGCTCTGATAAATTTTTCAGTACACGGTTGCCACTTTCAGTAGTAAGGAAGTATAAGAAAACTATTTGTACGTTTAATTTCAATCTAACTTACAGCAAGATAATAATTTCATACAAACCATTATTTCGATTTTAGCACATAATGCGACTCAGTGATTTATTTCAATTTGAAATTGATTTATGTTTAAGGAAAATTATTTGTAGCGGGAAAAATAAAAAGAACTGTCAATTTTGTTTGTATGTTAACAGCTGTTTATGGTTGAAAAACATATTAAGGCTATTTTTCAGCTAATCATGAGAAAATATATTTAATTTTATTCTTACGTTTGTAAGAAAATATCTTCAGTTCCAAGAATTAAAGAAAAAGACATTAATAATTAGAAAATAATTAACATAATACTTAAAGAACGTAGCTTCAGAATCCTTGCATATTCTACGGGAAAAAAAACGAAAATTTCCATTCTACCAAGGGTCATAAAATAACTTATATTTGGTCTGTTTTGCTCCGATTCATTTCAGTGGTTCTTAGAATGAAAGTCACTAGAACACTTTCTCAACAATTGCACAAACAGCGTATGTTTTTGTTATAAATGACTTTACGTGAGCCTTTCTAGCACGCAAATTTTTCTTTTATGAATAAAATGATAATTTCAACTACTCTCAAACTTAAGATGTAGCCAGTAAATGACTAAAATTTTCAACTCGGCTTGTGAAACGTTTACTGCGTATTTAACATGCAAACATGAAGGAAAATGTCGAAGTTTAAATGGGGAAACTTAGACCATTGTAAGCAAAAAGCAATGAAAAGATATTTGTCCTACTGTTCTTATAGCGGATACCTTTAAAGATCTTACGATTGTATGTGCAGATTTAACGCAACGTTTCTCTTAGAAAATCCTTTATGAAGAATATCTATAGTACTCGAATATTCTCATATAGCCCAATTAAAAACCATTTGTTTATGTTTAACTTTTTATTAAGATTTGCTTAAACGAGATTTATTAGGATAACGATCATCATTTTAAAACTTTCATTAAATTACTTCAGTTTTTTTTTTGAATATTTTTAATTGATGAATCTTAATGCCTGAAAGGACAAGTGCCTGCTAAGGAAAAGAAATTATACATACATTTTAATGAATTTATTTCTTGGGGAGCAAGCTTCAAAACGAATTAATACTTAAATTTGAAATAGACTTTTACTGAAAAATAAAATTAATTAATGTTCTTCTAATATATTAAATTTGATGGAAAAATACTGTACGATCGTTTATTAGAAGATTCTTCCTAATTCTTATTAGAAGATAATTCTCATTGTAGAAGGTAAGCATACAGAGAACTGAAATAAGAAGAGACAAGATTACGTGTTTCAGAAAATAACTAAAAATTTCTACAGCTGTCAAAGTTTGAAACCTGATCAAATTATAGTACATAGTCTGGACGTGAGGACACAACCGGAATCTGGGGGATTGAGGTTGGAACTTGCTTTTTGTAAGTGGCAGGTGAGCATAGCAGGCTTTTCTTAGGGATGCCGCTGGGAAGACATACTTTGTCCCTGACCTAGAAATCGTCAGTGCTAGTGACTCTGCCTCACACCCACACGCTTTGTTTTTACTACGGTTGCATCACGAAGACGTAATCCGTCCAAAGGTTACTCAAACGGGATCTAGTTTATATGTCCGGTTTTCATTTACCTAGCACATTTTGCCTTCAGTAAATCATTAGCCATATTAGTGCATTATTCTTCCGCATTTATACACCAATATGATTATTTTCATCCTTAGCATTGGCTTGTGCCTTAACAACTAATGAACGTTTTGAGCCTAAATAATAATAGCTCACTAATCAGTTCTACAGGAAAGGGATATTTTCCATGTCAGAAAGTTTATTCTTTAGTAATAATATTCGTCAACCGTGTCTACTTTTTCCATAAATTAGGCGTTTTAATAACATACTAAAAGTAAGAAAATATTAAAATCTTTCTAATTAAAATTAGTACTTTCCCTGAAAAATAATTAAGTTACTTTTTCTTTGCTGATCAGTTCAATTGCTTTTAATTATGCTGACTTTAGATCTATCTTTCTTCAGTACCGTTAACGCTATCCATGCAGCAAATAATTCGGTTTTACTCATTTTACTTTGTCAATTTTATATGTTATTCTTACAATAATTCATAAATTTTAGGGCAAAAACATTTTAAAAACTGGTTCTTCGATCCCAGATAAAATGAATCCAGTCCTAAACGAATTGAGCTTACGTTACTCAACCTCGAGGCATTTAGCTCTTATTAATTTTGCGAAACTCAGTTTTTCGTTGAGCGTTTGGAGTTCGACTCATCCTGTTCCAAACTGAAGATATCTTTTAAAAAGATCCAATCAGTTA